ATATATATATAGAGGTATATATATATATACCATTCACGCCTTGATTCTATGCAGGTTTAAGCTGTCGTTTTGGAGGCAATCATTGACGCAGTCAGGTCAAATTTTTTAACTGTCAGTTAAAATCATGCATTAATAGCAAAGCTGTATCTACAAAGTGGTCTAAGGCAGGACCATTGATATTGTTAACCATCTGAAAATCTGTAAAAGGAGATATTAAATATACATTAGCTAAACTTGCTTTTCGAATAATTATACATCTTCCTAGTTCCTGTTTTAATGTTGATCCATCATTGGATGTGCTTCATAAATAAATAGGGCCTACTGAGCATGAGTTTCCTCACAATGATCCTTATGTAATCTTCGCTTGCACTACCTTACAACGCCATTATTTCACAACTCGTAGCAACCCCAGCATAGCGACAAGACGAGTGCAGGTCAATGACTTAAGTTCGAACGTTTGTGGTTGGAGGCGTAACATCATGTGAATACACGGAGAACTGAGAGGCATAATTTGGACTTTGGAAATGAACCTCATATTCTAGAAATCATTTCAAGCCTAGAAACTGTTCTGAGGAAACATGACAGATAGGCTGTTTCCAAACATAAAAGAGAGGGCTTAAAAAAATCAAACGACATCACCAATTGAGGATGTCTAATAAAGCTTTTGTTTGTACCATCTCACACTTATGCTAATTAATAGTCTGCTTTAATCCAAGAATAGAGGCAAGACAGGCGCCAACGAATGCAAACGTTTATTTGCGCCAAACTGGCTAAGGATCACATTGTGTGTGAGAGCACGAGCAGGTGTATCGGATACCTTCAGTTTAGCCGGCGCTCATATTCATCGCTATTAAAGATACCAATAACTCCAAAATGCATTGAAAACAAAATTAGTAAACTTAAGATGTACACGATTTATATCCTTTTATTTTTTTATTTGAATAACGTAATTTTTTGATAAAGTCGATAATTATCTATTCAAGTCATTGACTCAGTTATATAACCTAGTTGAATGGAAAGGTGACTTAAACTGTGACTTATTTCAGTTTCACATATCCCCGGTCCTTGACAAGTGTTAAAATACAAAAGGCCATAATTGGCTTGAAACTATCGGAAAATCATCTTTTTACCACAAATCCACGGAAACCCATTTGACACTTGTACAAGCCAATTGTATCCCGCTTTTTTTCGAAAACGATTTTTAAGCTCCAAATGGAAGTAAACTCTGATTCTTGGTTCTTGAAATACACATAAGTAACTTTACTTTTAACATTTTGTTGCTAACTTGTATACAATGCAACGCGTTTAAGTAACTACGCCCACATTTTGATGTTTGCTAAACGTCTGCTGATGCGCGACGAGTAATACAAATACAAATGACAAATGTAAAATTGACAGTGGCTTAAATTCCTTCAAAGAAGTTCTGAAATCGCACCTCACAAAGCATTGGAAGACTCCAGAACCCAATAGACTCATAACTGCCGATGACCAGCCAAAGATCAATATTAGCTTTGATGATTATATGGTTTAATGCATGAGTCAATGAGTGAATGAAAGGCCATATTGCTGGGTGTTTTGATCCATTACTTTGCTAACGTTGCTCCTATCAGACAAGTCTATTTCCATAGCCGGAATCGGCACTGGAAATGATAGCGCCGAGGGCAAACCTAGGGTGGACGTTCAAAGGCACTTCAAACATTGAGTTCTAATAATCACAGTTCCTCAAAAAGATGAGTTCGTTATGTTCAGAACAAAATAAGAAACCCGCCACAGAGTATCCAATAGTTCTCATATTGGTCCTGAATAAACACATATAAATCTATACATATATTTATACAGAAAAAAGGGGAGAAACGGATATCATGGAACAGTGATTAAACCCGAGACTCTGCAGAATCACTTTGGGTTTTTGACAGTGTCTGCTTTCCTTTCAAATGCAAGTTTCTTCTGGGCTTCTTGTAAGACAAGGATGGTGGTTTTGGTGTGTTCTGATTGGTTGCATGGGGGGGCGGATCCGGTGGCGAGGTGTAATGGGATCCCCTAAGGTCAACCGAGGGATCGTCTTCGGAGTGCCAGATACTGGGTCGCGATAAAACGACGGTTGCTCTATTAGGACGATAAAAAGAGAGTGAACTGTCCGAAGTGTGAATGAAAGTTTCAATACGACGGGCAGCTGGTGGACAAGGCGAGATTACAGTTACCTAAATTGAAGAAAGAAAAAACATCCGTTGACACTTGGGTGTTTTTGCAATCTGTAGCACATGTTTAATCACATTCGATTACCCCTGGGTCACAAGGGTTAAGGAATACTCTGCATGGCTTAACGTTACCCCAGGTTGTCACATGGTGAATCAACAGACGTGATAATAGTTAATCTCCAGTCTAAGTTCTGCATAAATAATAATGTGGCATAAATACGCTCCATGAGAAGATCAACACATCTTGTAAAGAACTAAAATGAACCTTTAAATGCATGAAGTCATGATACGCTTCCTGCTTTGTTGTCTCCTGTCAGATGAAAATTGACGTAGCCAGGAAAATGCTTTTATTTGAGAATTAATCAAAAGTGCATGAAAAGGATTAGGAGAAAATTCAATGCTAGGTGCAGGGTGTTCCCAAGGCTTTTATTAGGCAAATTCTCTTGTCTTTATCTATTGTTGAACTCTGTAATTTGTCTGATTATGTGCATTTTTTTAGCTTTGCCTTAATTACTAATTCTAGGCTTGTCGTTTTCTCAAGGTCGTGGCCAAATACATTTCAAATAAACTAGCATGCCTGTAATATTCAACCTTAAACATAAAAATTCTGACAAAACTTCCTCTGTGTATATATCTATTTATTTCCTACTTGTATTTAATAGAATAGGTAACATCCAAGTAGCAGTTCTCCAAAGAAAATAGTTAGGACTACTCAAGTTCGACCATTTGAGTTATTCTAGGCACGGGTATTAATAGATTTTTTCTGTCACGTCCAACTACTCACCAGCTATTTGTTACATGGCTTCTACCAAATATTGATAAAAAAAGTGACAGTTGATTGTTTCCATTTTCTCTGCAGATTCTTCTGAAGAACAATATTCGTATTAATCAGCTGCGTTTTTGTGTCCCAAAGTGTATTTAGGTTTGGGATCACATTATACATGCATTTTCGATTTTTAAACAGAACCTTTCTTCCACAGCATTTCAAGACAGTTCAAAACACAAACTGTGTAAATTTTAATGATTGTTTTACATGTCTTTCATTGGAAAAGTAGTTTTAAATTCATAATACGTGCTTGGAAAGAGGCAGGTGAACGGGACCTCTTAAACTATCAAAATCGGTCACCTCCATCAACAAGCAGTATTAGGGTTAGGCACCACTTTCGAGTTTAACCAAACTTCCGTCATGGTTTCATGGTCTTAAGCTGATGGCGTTCGAACTCCCTCACCATTACTTAGGCGAACGGCCACCAGTCCCGATTTGGCGACGTTAATTAAGCCACCGTTGTCAAACTTATTTAACCTCCACCAATTTAATGGGGTTTCGCACCAGGCTACCCTCAAACCTTGATTGTGTACCAAAATGGCATTACCATGAACCTAGATTTTTTTAAACAACTTTATACGTCTTTAACTAAATGGTCTCTTTTTACTTCTTCCTATCTATTTAATTATCCAATTTTTTCAAGTTCTTCATTGGACATAGGTCAGGAACACATTTGTATCAGTAGCTTTGCTGGTTCATTAAGTCTGAAAAGCACAAAATTTAAACTCGAGAAGAGATGAGTGCGTGCACTCATTTTAATGATAAGCTGTCGCTTTTAATGACCAGTAGCTTTTATTTACCTCTGCGCTTAAGGCAAATATTAACAAATGAAATCTAAATAAAGGGTCAAATAGGGACTATAAACGCACCCTGCTAGTTACGACGGTTACATTGCGCGTCACCATTTGGACAATCAAATGCTTGCAGGCCAGTAACCAGCAAACACACATAGAAAGAAGTACTGTCGTAAACAGAAGCCTATAGAGGCTTGTAAGAAATGTGGCAAAGCTAGAGTTCTTGAAAAACATCTGGTGCAGCTGGCGCAGTTCTCGCTCTGACAGAAGGCTTGTAGCCTTCTCCGCACCCAAAATTGTGTGCCTTTCTCGAGAATTGAGACTGGAGTTGAAAGCGTCTAAAAAAAGAAAACCCTCACATTGTTTAATCATTTAATAATATCTGCTGACTACTTTAATTAAGGTTAAACTGTCAATCTGAACTGGACGGGAAAACTTAAACGATTCTAAAGCCTTTACTTGGTTAAATGTCATCAGTCAAAAACTTTTTTCTTGATCTCGGAAGCAGACGTTAACAACCCACTGACGCAGATGAAGGACGAATAGTTAAGTAGTTACGTTAGGTGAATAAAATATTTGCTTACTTTGTCTAATTTTCCAAAGGCAATCAGAAAGTAACCGGAATCGATTCTGTTTTAGGTAAATCAAGTTTTGAGCTGGAGAGGGGAAACATAAGTAGAAAAGCGTGTTTAACGGGACGTTTCATGACACAAATGCCAGCACCATTGTACTGTTTGCTTGTAAATTACGAAAAAGTAATTTCAATATCAGGAAATATTGCAAATTTCAATAATAATAATAATAATGGCATTACCTCTAGATTGCACAGGTAAAAAAGCACAAAGTGGCAGTTTGAGCTGATCTAGCGAAGAAATAAGTGTCATGGTATTTTTTGGTGGTTTTCTAGATGCCAATGTCGAGTAAGGTGCATGCTGTCTGCGCTGTTGCTCCTGCCTTATTCGCTGACAAATTGTGTTGTCAAGAGTGTAGAATGTTGGATGATTTCGGCCAGACAGCTCTGTGAGAGCGCAAACTTCATAGAGATTCTGCCTCAAAATGTGCTCCTAAAGACAAAGAACAACGAAGCAAAATTTATGGGTGGGAAGCTGACTAGCATAATAGTTAGTAAAATGTGTGCCCAATGGTTGTCTAGCACTTGTTATCAGTCATGAAGGCAAGATGCGAAGGCTCCAATATGTCAGATTCTAACGACCATGACATCAACACTTAAATTCAGGAATTCTGAATAAGTATTTAGGGCAAGATTTAATGTGAAATATCACGTAAAGTACCCATGCTTAAAAGGCGACTTTTAAGCTGGATTTTTTTACATTATCAAGAGAACTGTCTAAGTATCGAATCGAACGGTCTGGACTTATTTACTCCCAGGTAGCGGACACTCATCAAATGGACATACTTATACAAATAGTAATGCGTTCTTTTTAAAAAAAAAGACTAAAATTAGCTGATCCTAGGCCTTAGTTATAGGCTTATCCATCTTGTTAAATACAGATTAATTAATACAATGGACCCATTTTCTGGGCATTGAGGAGCGTCGCGTATTGAAACAATTTTACCTTTTCGTGATGCAGCCAATGCTGTATTCTTTTGAGTCGGCGAAGCTGCCTCACAGCCTTGTTGCGTTCTAGAAGTAGGCGTTGCGAGTTGAGGTAATTCAGTTGGACATAATGAACCATTGCTCGCATGTGACGTCTGTAGTCATCCATAGCCTCGACACGTGAAAGAAGAGCACTTCTGCAGTATAAATAGAGTCTATTTAACAGCATGAAAAATAACTTGATGCTAAAACCAGCTATTAAAGGATGGATGCATGTTTCGTCTTAGTTGTAACCACAAGAGTTTATTATGATATTGCATCGATTTTTATATATGTGCGATAGGCAAACGTGTATTTTTAGCACTCGCAGAGCATTCATTTTTATTCCTAAAACACTAACAGGGAATATTTCCAATGTTCTGCTTTGGAGTTCTGCCAAGTTTTATCTAATTAGGCTGTAAAATTTATGGGTCTGGTTCGCGGAAGTTAAAAAAGCGCTTGCAGCAGCCTGCCGTTTTTGAATCACATAAGGAAGCTCACTCGTCCAACGTTTCAAAATATTGTCTTTTGAGTCTGATTAGTTTTTGATGAGCCAATGCAACTGATTCGTTTACAAGATGAGATGTTCCGTACAGGTTTTAAGTTTTCTTGAAGTCTAATCTAAATTGGTTTTGAAACTAAATGTTAATACTCGAAGGTTGCGTTTTGAAACAGCTACAAAAATATTTTAAGCAAGTATTTTCTGAACCCTTTGAAGGCATTTCTAGAAATTCTGAGCAATTGTTTATCATCGTTTAATTTATATTTTAACAGCAAAGTAAGAAAGTGGTACCCAATGAGACATGGGTTCTAATCAATCGCAAAAGTTGTGTTATGTGAAGATACAAGCAATTTCTTCCCAGACCAGCATTTAAGAACTGAAATAAATGTCACTTAAATTGCAGCGATTCAGCAGAAACTGACGAATGAATTTTTGCAGCCGCTTTGATTACTAGACAAGTGGATAAAGGCTAAACAGCAAGCAAATGAGACAAACCATCGCTGCAGCAATTACGCATTGATTTGGATTTCATACTGGGTAGCAGTGGTACACCCAATACGAAAATTGCATTGAATTCTTTTAAGTTAGGAATTTTTCTAACCTAACATCTAATCGTCACGTTGCGGGACCAACTTCAACCAGTTGCAATTACAAAGACCTTTTGACCTTTTACGGCACACTAAGCAAAAAATATCTTCCTATGCATTTTGACCTAGATTAATGAAGCAAAAATGGTTCCTTGCCGTGTTGCCACAAAAGGTAATTTCGCTGTCACTGCATCTAAGATTTTTCCTGTCGTGAGGCACTAAAATTTATGAATATTGCTAAAATGTCACAAAGAGCGTATATAACTTTATCAAAGAAAATGTTGCACGTGTAAAAAAGTGAGATATCAAAGTTAAGGGAAAAACAGTTAGAAAAAGAATTTCTTGTCCATAAAACGAGCACACATTATTAGTTGCACACGGATAAATATGCAGCCATTTTTTGTAGTTTGAAGGATGCTAACCAGATAGGAGCAAAAAGTTGCGAACTATAAAGTTGCACGATTTATGGATAAATCTCGTGTTCATAAACGAGGTGCGTTGGATAAAAATAGATTAAAGTTACGTTATTTGGGATTCGATACGATACGTTGTTTGAGCATAAGACAACCAAATATTACCCATTGCATTGAAGCTTTACCAAATTTTAAAAAAATATTAATTCGTCAAAGTGTTATGATTTGAATTTAAAAGTGCTTTTTGTGTAAACAACGATTCAAGTTTGTAATTCCGCCGAATTAGAAAAACAGATGATTATTTTGTTAATTTTGCTTCCCTTATTTAAACACATCAATTATAGTAAAAATTGCTAAATGTTTTCCAGAATAACTTTCAATTAGTTAATCAATGATACTATTTCATTCTTAATTTCAATAAATTCAACAAAAATTGAAATTTTACTTGTACAAACACATTACACCAATAGTTTACCCAAGCAAAGAACATACTATGATGATTTGTCAATAACAATAACGTGGAAGCAGTTGATTATTATCAATTAACTTTGAAAATCTAAGTGTCTATTCTAAGCTGCAAACACGAAACGCAATTCTGCTGGTTCTAAAATTTCTTTGATCAATTGTGCTCTACTTATACGAAATGCGTCTGCTCCAATCTGCAAGTAGTAATTGCTCAGACCTGTCAGTTTTTGGCTTCTTCCGTTTTGAATTCCAACGCCACTAGACTTTAAGTTGAAAAAAATAATTGCTTGCTCATGAAGCTCCAAAATTACATTGATTTGAAATATCTAGACTTGTTACGTCAAGCTATTGAACACCTAACAGGAAAAATGCCTGTGTGCACTCACCGCAGTTTTTACTTAGGGTATCCTGCTCGCCTGTATAAACGCAATATGCAAGCAAGAGTTTTTATACCCATTACACGACGATCGCCGATAGTCCAAATATCAAAAACGATAATTTGTAATTAATTCCGAAATATACATCTTTAGATTATCGGAATTTGTTTTCTAAGGCCATTATTTTACCTTCATTTAGATGGGCATACAGAGCAAAGGCATTTCATCTAAATGAACCTTTTCTTCTTCAAGGAACATGTCCTTTGTATTAAATTGTTCCATTGTGCATTCGCCCCTAAATTGCTCTACCAAGTGGTGATCCGTGCTATACATGTCAATCGAAAATCAGTCATCGTGATAGCTATGATTCAATTCCAGTGAGCAACATTTGCGTCGCCCAAAACACGCAAATATTGCTTAAGTCGCAAATGACCATTACTTATTTAAATCAAAACATTAAATGTAATTATTAAAACTAGAAGAAAATTCGTTTGTTTTGGCTGACTTAGACTGGGATTTAATTTGCCCTACATGTAAACACAGACACATTTGAACATTACAAAAGATTCGGCTGTGCAGACTCGTTAAAAATTATGGAGGCCTTAGAAGGGCAAAAAAATTTATCAAACATTGTCTGCATCAATGCCAGCTGTGACACAAAACCGTAGTAAACAAAAGTGAAAATGAAATATTAGCAAAGAAAACTCGTTTACGGACAACTAAAATGTCAAGTGTGCTACTAAGAATGACTAGAGATTTGCTGAAGTAATTAGCCCTATACATTATTTCAGCATCGAATTAAGTAACCCAAAAGAGTTTGCTACAGAATAAAAGTAATCTCTAATACGAAGGCAAATTTAAGCTACTATAGCCTTAAGAAAAAGTAACAAGAAAATGATCAAAAAAGTCAAAGCTTGAATTTCAAAAACTATTCTATCTTTTAAATTTACCCAAAAATTTATTCTGAACAGTGAAATAATTAAGGTTTAATTTGTCAACAGACATGTGGTAGAAAACTCAAGCATAAAAGGATGAGAATGGCAGATTAGAAACTAGCAAAATGCCATTTATTCTCCTGGGATAGCTCTCAGTCAGCCAAAAAGGGAATGTTTGCAAATGCCTTAATGAAAACGATTTTAGCAAATATTAGTCACTTTGTACGTTTTTTTATTTTTCCCTTTTTTTCAAGAAGAAATAGTTTTATGGTTGTCCAAAACTCGTGACGAAGTTTTGTTGCGCAAGTGCATTATTTATGTTCCTTGCTAAGTATCCAAAACTTGGCCTCAGCTGGACATCTACGTTATATTGCTCGACGTTTTTGTTGAAGGGAACTTAATTTCCAGAGGAATATAACTCCAGGTTTTCAACTAATATTTAGCATGAAGACCCGTTCTGAATATGAACTTAATTTTGATCCAATAGGTCAACTTTGCGGAAATATTTTTCGTACTTCAAATGGGAATTGCACTTATTTACATTATTTCCAACCACCATCCCATAATATACGAAGTAATGACTTAAAAAAGCCATAGCTGCTGTTTCTCTGTGGCCAGTAATCCATTAACCTACAGCTTTAAGTGGATGAATTTAAACAATTGTTTTGTGGACCTTAAAAACTCCACCTAAGAGCTAGGGATTTTTTAATTGAGTGATGCGTAAGATTTATTTGGAAGTCAGTCATAAAAAAATGCAAGCACAAATGCCGAAATGGCAACTTGTCTGGATAGCATTGTACATTTGTGAAATAAGCTCTCTGCCAAAGTTAGATGAACGAAGTCAGTAGATTTCATAGGCTCAATTTGCAATTAAAAGAAATTTGGTACGTCCTTTGCTGACTATCTTTGGTAATTTTCAATGGATTCTTGTACAACTTAGATAACTTCTGTCATATTTACAATGATAAATCAATAAGCCATTTGTAGGTACTTTTTAAGTGGAAATCTGAAGTAAAACAGGGATTAACCCAATCTGACGCTGAATAAGCGCGACTGAATGGAATGCGATTTGCTTGCCAAACCCATCAGGCATGTTTGAGAATGACTCACGCGTACCCTTGGACCCGGTAAGCTGTTCTTTGGATCCACGGGAGTAAACTTGACAACTCGTAAGTTTTTGAGTTGACATTTATGGGCATTAACGCGACACGCTCTAAATTCACCAATCCTAGCACCTTGAGCCCCATTTTTCAATTTATAGCTTACAATTGACTCAGTTTAAGCAGTGAGCTTACTCTGACAATTCAATTTGTTGCGGTAGAAGTGAGGCGAAATTCGACTACTGGAACTAAAGGCATGCAAGGCGCACTAAATTCTAAACTTTGCCGTAAAAACTTGATCTCGGTTTTTATAGAATCGAAGAGCAAGTGACACGTCCTAGTATTTAAAAGCATATTATAAAGCATAATTTAATGCCTCAGGAATACTTGATTGCAGCAGTTTGATACCACAATCGTTGAGAGCAATTTCTCAACCTGTCCCTTAGATCTTTGGAAATAAATGAAAAAAATTATGTTTTCATATAATGGAATTCTTCTTGGTAGTTTTAATTGCAATTGAAAGTATCGCATTTCGTAGAGAAGGAGTGCAGTAAGCACTATAAACAACACATAAGTGTAACTGTGACAGAAGGCGTGCGGACTACGCAAAAAAGTTTTGGAGTAATTTCTTTTCACTAAACCAATGATTCAAACTTTTCCACGATTACATAGAAAATACCTGACACGTGTTAACCCAAAAGAAATGGGACGTCAAAATATCTGCAGAATCTAATTACCAGAAACCGAATTATTGTAATTCCCAGGGAACAACTGATGGCTCCGCATACTATGATCTTAAACGTGATGTCAATTTCGATTTCGCCGCCCATTTCTTATTAACGCATTATTACTTGAAACCTGTCTGCTGTCACTTAATACCAGGATAATGTGTGATTTGGTATTAGAATTATTTTTTAACCAACAACATGCGGAATTTCACGTAGAGAAATCAAAAAGGCACTTTTTCCTGAGCCTCACCAAGTTTGAATGGCTGATGTTAGATGGGTTTCCTATGGACATTTCAGCATAATATCGCGTCACTATACACAATCTTCTGCTACCAATAATTTATAGCGCCCTTTAAGGTATAACAAACCGTACTAAGCATAATGCATTCAATATGTTATGATTAGCCATTTGAAGCGAATGCAACATTACTTATCAAATAGTTAAGACATCTTCGTGCCAGTTGATGACGGCAGCACCAGAATCATTTCCTTCGTAAAAATAATGGAGCATCATGGCTTGGGTTCGCATTAGCTAGCCATTCAAATGACTGTTTCTGCAAGAGCAGGTGGTCACCCTTAACCTATAGTTTGGGGCACCAATTTAGCAGAAAGTGGTAACGCACAGGCTATTGACCACCTCTGATTATTGTACTTAAACCATAATATAGTGAATGCTTTAAAACACTTTCTTCTCTGTCCGTGACTCGCTTGCTTGCAGCACTGCTAAGGAGCCACTTTCTAACACATTTTAAAATAGCTGAACTTACTGTCTTAGAAGCCAATTATTTCCTAATCCTTTCCCCGCTCCCGTGCTGATTACTAAACCGGTTATGATGAGGCAGATGCCAAAGAGGATAAGTAAATAGTGAAAATCAAGGCAACAACAGCAGCTTGGAAGGCTTCCTCGACGATTGTAGCTAATATAATCTGCCGCATCAGGATCGTTGCATAATTCGTTTGGGTGCAAGGGGATGGTCGCAGTGGTATTGGAGGAGCATATTTCATCACCCGTTAGACCGCCTTGTGACTAAAACACACAAAAGTAATGGTTACATGCCTTTACGTTACTTCAAGTGCATTTTAGCATATTTTAAAGACTATCGTTAATTTTGTATGAAAATTTCAAAGGACCCTGCGAATAGCATTTTCACGATTCGCACTTCACCATGGACTTTAATAGAAAGTGAATGGTTGTGGTAGACCGAGGTCGCTCCTTTCTTAAGAACTAACGATTTTCCAAGGAATTTTTTTACCTGAATGTAGATGTAGAGTGGCTTGCGGTCTTTATTATTAAAGTGATGGTAATTTTATTACAGTAGCGTGTACAATACACATGAAACCTCATTAAATTGGTTTGGTTTGAATTGACAATAAAAAGGCTTTCACGAAAACAAAACTGCGGTTCAAGCAACAAAAACAACCTAAATAGCTATGCAAGTCCATTTTATAAGCTCAACATAGCCAATCAGGAGGTGAGAGGTGTATCGAAATTTGAAATAATTATACATTGTTAACAGTTTGAAGTTTTTTACGCTATGATTAAGTTGTTAAGAGACAAGCGTACCTACCTGTTCAATTATTTAGCTTCCTTTTACACGTTAGCTACATCTGTAAGCCTTGATTGAAGATTTTTAGAAATTTGGTACTATGCCTATCAATAGCACCACGAACGTTATCATTGTACTCATTGAATGAAGAACAAAGATATTACACCCTATTCATTCCGTCTTTAAAATAGTAGCAATACTAATTAAAATAAAATTTCAGGCTCACATTGGCATGGTTTGGGCGTGCATTTGGATGTTGGTTGACAACCACGTCACCAACAGGAATTCGTTTCGGAGAAAAGTTGTTCCGTGCTTGAATAACAGTCTGAATCAAGTCAGGCTGCTTTGAAGGGAAAAAGATAATGCATTTAATGATATTACAAATTCAGAAACCAATTGAATAAAATAGCATACTATTAATGCACTTTAATTAGTTTACATTACATTTAAATTTAGTGAAGAAAGCCATCACTTAAGGGTCAAAGGCCTTGCTTCCTTGGAGCACGATTTAAAAATGCATTACAAAAATAATTGTTTGCGTTTGAGAAAATTTTAAGGTGCCTGTGCCACACGAAAATATGGGGCGCTTCTTAGCATGTTTATTAATTCTGTGCAGTACTCACATCACTCTCCGAGGTCGACGCTGGTGGTTGAATTAGTGACTCGAGTTCCTGTTGTGAATTCTGTTGGTCCATTTCACTGCTCGTAAGCACGAGGGCAGCGTTCGAATGCTCAGTTAACGTCGGTCTCTGGCGAGGTGGACTGGCCTTTTGGCGCGAGTTATAATACATTTTTCGACGTTTACCGAGCCAAAGAGCGCAGAAGTTGCGGCAGGCAGAATAAAACCGCGACACGATAAGATAGGCGTCCAAGACGAGCAGAAATACCCTTAGATAGGCTATATTTATCCAGTCACGCAGAAGAATAACTTCATGTTTGTATCTACGGGAAGAAACGACTTGGTAATAGGTAAAATTGACGTCTGGAAAGAAGTATTCATTGGAAAGAGGTACCAAAGATTGTCTACCTTACTTTAGATTCCCATTTTGAGACAGAATGGATTGTTTAGAAACTTTTAATTCCCACAGTTTTCCCACTTCACGCATTAAAAAACTTTAAAAAACGAAAAAGTTCAATAGTGGAGTTTTGTTGATTCTGCATTCTTTGTGAGGTGCGGGACAGGCATTAGCATGCAGAAGACTTAGCGTTTGTCCGCGAGCCAATGCCAAATGCGTATGCAGCAACAAGAAAAAATTGATGAAATTGCTTTGTTACTATAATTTTGAAGAAGCTATGCCATGTAGTTCCAGGTGCACATTATAAAATGTTCTTCATAAAATATGACAGACAACTCATTGGTAGGTTTTGGATTTGTACTCAATGCAACCATAAAAGGTGAACAGTAATTGAGTATTAAGGATGCGAGTAAAAACGTGCCAAAATGTAAATACCGCACAGAAAATATGCAGAACATTTCGAAACATCAAAGTTGGAATTGATGTTCAGGTTCATTCGTTTGCTCATTTGTTTAAAAATTAACATGTAACATTTAACGAGATCTTTACATTCAGTCACAATTTTTTTCAAAATCAACTTTGTTGCCTGGTTATGGTGATGGTTACAAATGCTTTAAAATTCCAGAATGAATGACTAAATTGTTAACGCCAGCATTGGAATGCTGTTTAGAAGGCGGCTTCTGGCCGTTTGAGTTGCTGATTTTGTGATTTTATACAGCGAGCTCATGAATTGTGCAGGAACAGATGAGTTGATAAAACAAAATGACAAATGTGTGCAAACATTTCGTTTTTTGTGTACCGAAAATCACAGATTACAATAGTTATCATGTTTGTAAACTATAGAAAAATGCTTCAGGACTATGGAATTTCATTTAAAAACAACTTACGTAAAGAAGACTTGAAGGTTTTCAGTGAATGTTTTAGTAAAAATAAGCTGTTGACAAAATGAATATAATTGCATGGCCTGCATACTTTGAACTAGAATTAAATTAGTCTAGGCTCGCGTTATTTCTAGGCTTTTTTGTGAAAATATATTGATTAAGCTGCAAAAATTAAATAGATTTATCGACTGAAAAGGAACACCTTACAATCTGGGCGATCTACGCAGTCAAAATGTGAATTTTATGGTAACGATACAGTGGAGAATTGTATACGCTGTTTAGTGGACTTTGAGAATTCCGAACGCTAATAGCAGGATAAATAATGCATGGTACATCCCACAGGGATATTTGCATTTTCAAAATACCTCAAATGGGTCAGATGTTCGTAAAATAGAGAAATAATGTATGGAATGAACTGAAACTGTGAAGTGACACTCACGTAGTTACGGTAAGACTTAGCAGACTGCGCTGATGCATTTGATTTCTTAATATAGTTGAGGATGTGCGAGAAATGCTATCAAGGTCCTCGGTAGTAAAATATTGGGTGCGAGTGTAGAATTTGAAGGGATCAGTAGGCAGGGCTGTAATCGGCGACTGCAACGAACCTGTGGTAGTCTCTCTGGTCATTGTTTTTTCAAAGTCACGGAGCCGTCTAAGTGGATGTACGTACTGTCGAAGGCTAAATAATAGTAAGTGATGGTTTAAAAGCTCATACTTTGTACACGTGGCCAATAAATGCTTCTCAAACCCGTTTGCCTTTTATTTTGCATGCTTCTCATTTATCAGATATGCTGTACTGACAAAGGTACGCCAAGACTATGAAGTGATCATGACAAATGTACTTAAAACTCGTAAAATTTAAACAAGCAACAAAGGTTCATAATTAATATCATAACATTTTCAAACACACAATACCATTAAGAAAAGTAAACTAAACACTCACTACATAAAGGCATAAATAATGCATCCCTTCTTACTTTTATAAATTTTCCAATCAGATGCGATCGTAGAAATACCACACAAGCTATCAAACAACACGATGACAAAATTCATCATTAAACCGTTACTGACAAACTTAGCTCAAGGTATCCATTCATTTGGTACAATCCATTTAGCTTCAAATAAGTTAGGAAAATTTCTTTCCATTATGTTCCATGTGTTATAAAGTGGATGAACACTACATTAAAACAACTATTGGGCAGAAAACAAAGTATCAACCATTATAAATGTCGTTTTACTTGGCTTTCAGTGTGTATCACTTTCAACAAATACGACTCAATGTATGAGGCTCAAACATTGTCAATCAAAAGCATGCGAACACCGATTAGATAAATTTGAACAAAATAATAATGGTTCGCGTTCCCTGTTCGTTACCGGCAACCTACGCAATTAGGAACCTATTTGTAGACAAAGATTTACACATATCACAACACGTGTTTTAAGTAAAAAATATAGTCATACATACTTGTTCCACATTCGCGCCTCGGCGTATCGGGCATTAGCGGGTTGTGGAATGCCAAGGAAACCAGCGAACGTGAGAGCTTCCACTTCGCGCGGATTCGCTGGCGTCAGTCCAACAAAATAACCCGGAGTCGAGGGCGAGCGAATATTGAAACGACCGACATCGGGACTGGACAGGGCTTCATTTGTGGCGTTTACGGCTCTGCGTGCTGTCGCCAACCAGGGATTATCCAACATGCTCTCGAGCAGAAGTGTATATGGTGACCAGTGTTGAACCATCTGATTGTCTAGACGGCTTCTTGTCTGGCACGAAGGTAGTAAGGTATCACAAGTCAGTACAAGTTGCAGAGTTCATTTCGCATCTCGCAGCGATTTCATTCTTTCTTCATGTAAGCATCGAAATTTTAGATAAAATCTAGACGCATTTAAACGAAATGCTGGATGAAAGTAGGTTTGCCTTTCCTACGCATTAAATCGAATTCTGAATTTATAATATAAGTATCAATGTCTTTGGTCTCTTGCTTCAGATTGCCTTGGGAGCAAATTTGGCAGGAAAATCTTGACATTTAGGTTTGTGAATAAGCAGCGATGGGCTGTCAGCCCAACTAGGTCATTGGAGTCGCCCAAAACAGGAGGTAGGGGAAAAGGCAGAGTGTGGGGTACATTATGTTTGCATTGTAAATGAGGAAAGGATCTTACTGTCATTGGTAAAAGGAACTTTCAGACTATCAATGGCTGCGGTATGCTGCGATCCCTTTCTATAACTTGTAAGAAATTAAGTGTCGTAAAACTTTAAAATGGTCATCGTGAGTTTAATGGAAGGAGGCCTCTTGATACTAACGACATACACAAAATCCGAGTTTGGTGTAATAAAATTCCACTAAGGATACTGTACTCTTAATGAAGACTTTTGGTTGATAGAATTTGAATAAATGAAGGATTTGACAATTGTGGCGTTGAACTAGTAATCACCTCACTAGGCAGACGCATAGTTATTTAAAAGGATAAGTTTTGCCCGAGTGCGTTTGACGTCTTTTTTCACGTTCGACCCGACTACCGATGTTGAGTGATAAGCTGGAACGCGGCAATGGTTGCCTTTAAAAAGCGGCTTAGATCTCCACAGGATCAATGTGTGTATTGTTCCCGTGATTGGTGGTGGTGGAACTAGGAACACTGAACGGTGATAGACATGATTTAAATGTGTGCACAGTTTTAATAGGGGCTGTAATCAGCCACCAGGTAAAACCGTTCACTCAGTTGAGTCCAGAGGTAATTTCACGAGATGGTGGATGAAGTCTAAGTTTATTGCTATGTACCTGTTGAATATACCTTGGATGTGATGGAGCATGTCGTTGAACAAATTTAAGCTGACTCTCAATGCGGAGTTTGAACAAAAACCGAAAATCTGTGTAATCACCAGACCAAATATAACGGTTATTCATTAATTGCACAGTACAACATACCACAGGATATGCAGATAAGTAAAAATTCTTGAATATCCATTTGCTATATAGACCAGGAGCAGTTGGCCGAGTGACATAGTGCACGTACTTCCGACAGCTTTCGAAGTCGTTAAGCAACATTCGTCAGAGGTACGGCCTACTGTTCGAAATCAATGTTAAGTGCTAAGAAAACTATGAATAATGCTTGAGAGCGTGTGTTGGCCACAAAGTTGTCAGTCACTTTAACGTGGCAGATACTCATTGTATATTGCGAAACAGGTGCTGCGAGGAGAGCATGAATAAGTGGTTTGGGTTCAGTAAAATCCGTGAACTCGTGCCCTCTCAATAAATGACAGTACTGTTTCACCCTAAAGCTAACTGTCAATAGTTCTTCTAAGAAGGGACTGTAACTGGTATGAGGGGGCCAAAGTGGTTGGGAAGAGAAGGATGATGATTCACTACGGTTATCGAATTAAAAAACACCCGTTCGCAATAACAGGTTTTTTCCTGTCCTCAAGTGAAACAGGTTTGCAAAATTTTCTATAGCGTCCCCTGTTACTTGAAATGATATTTCAGACACTTTTGAAAGGTTTAACTTCTTGAGATTCCTTTAAAGTTGGTCTGTCAGAGAGGATAACATTATATTAATAGGAGGAAGAAAGCCTACGCAAGGCCAAGAAAATGACTAGGGCTGCAAGTTGCCTCTGGCATTGGATAATTCTGGATTGCAAATGTCTTCTCAATCAGGAATCTGATGCCTTCTGCCTCGATGTGGTGTCAAAACTCCCCACACAGAATACGCATTTAAGAGGATTTGTCGTAATGTCATATGATTTAGGACTGGTGAAAATATTTCGTAAATGCAACAAACGCTTCCCTGTCTTTGCTGGCGGTAAGTCATTTAATAGATGAATTTAAAACTCTGTGTAAGTTGGCCTATGAACCCTAAAAGTCTGGATTTATTCCTTAAACCGTAGGGCATTGGTAAGAACACAAATAATCTAAATCAATTAGTAATGACAATGTTGGATACGTCATCAAAGGCAGCAGGTACATGAAGTCATTATTGGACAAGGTTAAGTAATGTCTAAAATCAAATGACAGTCATGAATATGCGGACCAGGGTTCCAATCAGGAACTGTGGCATAGATCATGACCTAAAATAGCTGAAAGATCAAGAGTTCCCTGATTTTTTAGGTTTCATTTGTAGTGCGGTGCTCAGGAGCTGTTGGAAATGCAACTTATGCTAATTCAGCAGCTATACTCAACTTCTTTTTATCAGTTATATTTAGTCTAACTTTAGCAATTATTGGTGGGCCTTTCATCACAATGGGACTAGGTAAGTGCGTTCATTGAGCGTCTAAGCCACCTTGACGACTTTAACGAGCTTAAAAATTACTCATAACTGTTAGGTTCGGACAATGCTTAACGGAGTCCTAACGAAATCATTGAAGTTAAAACTCCATGTACAGATTTCCAAGGAGCTTTCGCTGGCCGACGTCGACTAGGAGAACAAACTGAAAATGGAATTCAATATTAGTCATATTAATTACGGTAAAAATCGAGGAGAAATTTTGCCTTAGGTCCATATTTAAGGTGAACGTTGTCGTGGTCGCGTTTTTAACAGCGTAAAGTGGTTGGTCAAAGTCATTAAGATTATGTTCATCAGGCCTTGGGAGGGTTACGGTAACCTCGACACCAGTTTCAATAAAATTTAAAACAGCTTATGGTATCGGTGACGATTAGATAAAGTGCCAAAGCTGGTCGTCGCCGTTATGGGTCGGTTGTCGTATTTAATGTGAGTTTGCGTGATTAGAAGACCCGAGATGGCTGCATGGGTATTTACAGGCTCGCGCCTAGTCGCCATGGCGGTAATGGTACCAATATAAGCCTGATTACCTCCTGGGTTGACGAGTTGCAAAAACGAAAAGCGTGTTGCTGTCGTTACACCTACCCACAAACGCTTATTTAAGTCCAATAATAAATTGGAGACCTCTTCCCTCAATTTGTTCATGCTTGTGTCAACAATGTCTACCGACACATCAGCAGCAGTAATTTTGTGTTTCGTTACTTGGAAGATATTTGTGGGCGTTTTCACCTACCTTCGCTAGCTTCTTGGGTAACATATCAGGCCGTTCAAGCTGGAGGATAGAACTGAAGTTGGGTGACAGGCATTTAAACCACATTTGGCGTACAACTGGGTCATCGACTATATCACTAACATCTAGAAGGCACATGTGTTACAGGAGCTCAGTTGACGATTTATATCCTAGTTTAAGGTTGAAAAGTAGTTGTTGAAAAAGAACTTCGTTCAACCCGGTAGTTCATCTAATGACGGCTTTCTTCAGCTTTTCATTTCAACTTTAAAATGGCCTTGGGTCATGTAATTCAATTTTTGTCTTTGACGAGCAAATTCCAAGCGAATTCATGAAGAATTGTGATGCCAGCTTCTGAACACGAGTATAGCCTGGATTCACAGAGACAATGCTCGGTCATTGTGACCACGATGAATTGCTTCTTTTTGAACTAAGCACGCATGCCATTTTGCGTAACTGCGGCGGGAGAATGAATGGCACTCTTGCCAGTACGCCACACAGCCTCTATTCTTACAATAAACGAACAAGGTAGCTAGCAAGGTGGAAAATTACTTTATTTTTAGATTAAATCAAACATCCCACTACCACAGAAACAATAATTTTCGAAGCGTTTTCGGCTAGGTCTCGCAATGAAGTCCACTGGAGCTACGCGTGTTCGTTAATGAGCACGATCACTTATTATTACTTGATAATATCTGAGACTGGCTTTGACTCCTATCTACGTAAACAGGATCAGCATAAAATTTACGTGGTCGAATAGATTAACCAGATATATTCTTCGACTCAAAACGTTTAGCTGTTACGTCCAAAGATTATCTATGACGTCAACGAACACTACGCATGACAGGGGTTTGTCGTTCTGGGTTTTAAATGACCTTCGACGATAGAATTTGTCTTACCTCCTCCATGTATCGTTGAACAGAGACATTGTGGGGGTTCCAAAACTCGTTTTCCACTGACTCCCAAGTTGCATTTACAATAGCTAGGTAATGAAAGAAATCTTGTGGATTGTTTGTCGACTGCCTCAAGCCAGAAGTATTGTTCTGTGCCCTCGCTGTGACAAGAGTTGCAATGTCGGCCATTGCTAGCCCAATCTCGCCTGAGGCTCGCATCTCCTGCATTTCGCAAGTAGCCGTCTGCTGAATGAAGTAGGCCGTCTAAAAATTAAAATTTAGAAGTCCTAAAACTACAATGTCTTTTAATAACCTGCCTAACAGCCTTCTGTGACGTCATGCAGAATGACTGAATAGTTCTCATTCAACTTTTATTCCTTGAATCCGCTCGTTTAAAAAAAGAACTTAGCTCCAAAGTGCAACACGAAAATTTTAATAATTACCAGTTAGTTGACAATAATCAAATTAAGCAACATTATCTCAATTTAGTAGGTACTATGTTATCCAGGAAACCAGTTATCCTAAGTCTGGCGCTTCGAGCACAATTTACAATTAAAAGTACACACATTTGATCTTCCTCAGTGGCCTGACAGTAAAAACGACATATTCATAACAAAGTTCAGGGCAGCAAAATTCAAAGTAGGCGGTTGCGGGCACCAAGGGTTCGGGTCCGATTACAACAACACTCTAACCGTAGAGAGAATAGGTGTGTAATTGTTCAAAACAGGAGCTTTCAAGCGCTTATCATCTAAATGGGAATTTAGTCAATTAATAACATTTTTCTTCCACACAGCTTTTCAGTTAGCCAAAAGACCAGCGACCTGCGTCATCAGATAGCTTTGTGAAAGTAATGAACCAAGACTGCTCTGCTGAGTGATCCTAAAAGGCTTGACAGTCGTAAAGTCTGGCCTTTGTATTAGTAGGATTAAGTATGGTGAATAAAAACTCATTTTAGTTGAGCATTCCTCATGGATTTAATCTCAGTCGGATAGTAATCAATCTTGGGTGCAAGACACAAAAATTCCCCACGCAAGTATGCAGAAAAATAACAATCTATTTCAAACATCTCGCTAAGTCCAATGTGCAAACTTGCAAATGCATGGGTGAAGCGTACTCTTGTGGCTCAATAAATTGGTTATTGGATAATGATTAAACCTAGTTTCTAGCAGAGAGGTCAAATGATGTGTTAATGAAGACATCTCAGTGTGAGCATGTGGGAAGAGTTTTATCTGACTAAATGTTTTACCGAATCTCTTATCAGTTCTCACTCAACGTTACCCCACTGCTCACAAAGCACGCTATAAACGTCCCCACACTTGCACTACAGTGACATTTCGTGGCTAAACGAATAAGTGAATGGTTCTGCCCACATTGTCCCGCTGACTATTTGCAGTCTTTTTTGCTTCCTGGCATATTTGAACCTAATTATTTCGAACAAAACTGCATAAATTTATGGTGTGAGAACGCTCTTACAGGAATGGGAAAAGGTTGATCCTATTTCATAAATGTTTAAATGTCATATAATAAATGATGTCAGACAACTGTTAAAAAAATGGTATACAACAACATCAAAAATATGCTTATTTAGATTTTTAAAATTGTCAAAGCGATGCTATAAAGGCCCCTGTAAATAAAAAAAACCTCTAAACAAGGAAACTACGTAGTCTAAACCCATAAGTCACGTTAATTATGATTACTTTTTATCCTAAGATTGAGGAAATTATTACAATTTTCATGACGCAATTATAAATCATAAAATCCCGTGCGTAAATAGATCACTGATATTTTCACCCCGTAATCACGCATAAAAGTGACAGCGTTAGTGGCGCCGTGAAATCAGTGAAACAATTTGGCGCCGTGTTGATTTCCTAGTGAAGAAAAATGCAACATCGTCAAGGTGTATGTGTATCAGAAGAAAGGGAAAACCCCACTGTAGAATATAGTAGCATTTCCTGACCCACAGGCTTGAGAACTGTTTATCGGATATCGTAGCCCTTTGAAGTAGTGTAAAAACGGAGGGCAGTGACGCTTTCCAAAGTCAGCCTTTGGGCGTTAATTTATCCAAATATCGGTACAAGCTATATGGTGTCTTACAACATGAACAACTACCCGCGTTCACGAAAATACCCGTTTAGCTTGTGGGCCTAAATTTTCATCTATTAAAAAAAACCGAAATAAATTTAAGGGGGAGCTGAGAAAAGTGAGTAATAGTCCACTAAATCAAGTATTTGCAATTAGGCTTTGTAGTAATGACAGTCTTAACAATCCACGGATGCGTACGTTGGTAAATTAGCTTTCCAAACAAAAAACTGGCTAACTTATCATCTGCGTGTGTGGATGCTTTGAAGAGGTACTCAAATATTCATTGATCAAAACACATCAGCAATAGCCATACACAAAGTATGAACAAACACAAAATTTCAAACCCTTGCAAACTACATATTTGGAACCCAAAAAGGAGGCAGGATCTCATTACAAAGAGTCTAATGTTGTTCTATCCTTTGAGCATAAAATTTTATTTCTGCCGACCTACTTTCATATAAAAATCTAAACGACATTTACAAAGCCTTATAGATGATACAATTACCTGAATGAAAGCTGAAACAGGTCACTGAAGGACTCACCTAGTTACTTTATTTGGAAAGCCAATTTTCAATACGATTGAAGCATTCTTTTTAAGCCTCGGACATCACAATGTAAAATTCTAAGCATCCGCAAAATAGTAGATCTAGAAACATATTCCCTGTAGACTTGCTTCGCATTGGTTTACATAAATAACCTATCCCTTACACATAATTTATACTTCTGGTGATAGTAACGTTGTTTGCTGTTTTCGCATTTTTGCATTAGATTCGGTTTCCGACATTTTCCTAAAATAAATTTCCCGAGACAAATAAAATTCATCCATTTCAAGTTGGAGAACTAACCTCAGGGTTTTAAGTACCCAAAGTATTGGTAATTTTTCCTCATTTTGACTGCCTTTTAAACATGATCTACCTTTTACGCATACATTTACTTGAAAATTAAGAAGCACCGCGCGGCTAGCGAACGGAAGAGCCTCCAAGCTAAAACTGATCAGCGATGGGAGACTTAAATCACTTGGGCGCGAGTGTTAAAAGCAAAACCATGGGTTTAAAACGCCTCCGCCTTATGCGGTTTTAAGGTTCTGAGAGTGTTAAGGGTGATGATGCCACTTTACAACCGTTTCCTCTTCATTTTGTCTAAACACTATTTCATGTCACTACTGAATACAAACGCGGGGTTGTTGTTATCAGGGGACGAATTATGATTTTCAGCTTTTATTTTTTTCAAAGCACTGCGGAAAAAAGAAATTATTAAAACTAATTTATGCTGTTTTGGCTCAAGTGGCCTTGTGCTTTCTTTTTACAATAGGAAATAGATAAGTGTAGATAGTTCCCTAAGAAATCAAAGCGATATGCTTAGGTAAATTTATACGATTAAAAATACTGTTATGTGCATGGACAACAAAAATTTGTGCGGACATGCTGACAGGCATTGAGTCAGTGGAGATAAAGACCTTCCGACTCAACCTATTGCACGGGCATTGGACGAAAAACCTAATTGTGGTTTTAACCTTTACAAGCCAGTATTTTGGTTAAATTGAATTACTTGAATTATCGAATAAGTCTAAGATAAACAACCAGAAATGCACACAAAGACTTATGTGCTTCACACACGCGATAAATTCGATGCAACGTGACGAATCCTAGAAAACTTAAAATTATTTGGCTTGCTTAACTGATAGGCCTTATATTTAGGTACCTTTAAAATAGGAAAATTTGTTTTTCTAGGTTGGTATGAACTGCGTGTAATGTAATGCTTTGAATACCTTAGCCAATGACGACGTATAGAATGAGGATGGTAGGGCATTTTAAGAGGATTGTATCAGATGTGTCTTTTGCTTATTTTCAATAAAAATCAGAGACACTAACCCTTCAAAAGCCAGTAGTTAAAATTTTACGCCTAACACCAAAGCCGAGAAAGGAATACGAAAACAGGAACTCATTATTAGTTTTCGGTGCATTTCGATTCAAGCTGAATTGCAGATGAAGATCAAAATAATCATCGTTCTACCCATTTAACAAGATCATGGTCAAGACTAACAACAAATTTTGGTAACAACCTACAGAAAGGTGAAGGCAATTTAAGACTGCGATACGAATTGTTTCAATTCAATCAAATTGTATTTTTTGAAGCATTTAGAATTCGCTGGTTGATAAATGAACTTCCACGCATTTAGAAGATGACGAGTGGTGTACAATACAAAATATACAACTTGTAAGTCTTACCGTTTAGCCTACTTGTAAGTCCCTCTACCCCATGCAAACAATGCTTAATAGCCTAATTAACGTGCTTTTAGTCATTTGAAAGGATGGCTATTTAGTTATTGGGCGGTAACAATGGGACATCAATTAGAATAATGGAACAATCTAGGAACTTCACTCATCCATTGGTGCCTTTATTTTGCAACTCTTCAAGTCTATGAGTTGCACTTTATCACTTGTTGAAATGGTCCCACTAAGTAGATGATTTAAAAATTGAGCATCACAGAGCCAGCTTGCACTTTCCAACTTCCCTTGGAAGAATGAACAGTCGCATGGAAGCAACGATTCACACTAACATAGTAATCAGAATTAATTTGTCCGAAATTCCAAAAATTGAGGTAAATTTAAAGGATTGGAAATGCTGCAAGCTAACTGCTACTTTTTCCACATACGTGTGATTTTGCTTAAGAACGCATATTCGAATAAATTATGTTTACGCCTCCACCTGTAGAATTTGCTGTTCCATGACTGTACACCCATTCCTTATCTCATTGGAATGCCCCTTGGTAGAATGTGACCGGAGTAATCCTTGCGTCTTTAAGTTAGTTGTTTGCATGTGGTCATTTTGTACACAAGTTACAACCTTGCTTTAGATACGTGCTGGCCAGCTACGTAGTTTTCTATGGGTTAAAAACCAAACGGTTAATAAAGAACAAGCTTCTCAACAGTTTAAGGTGTCATTCATAAGATATCATGAGATTCAATCGTTGTTTATCATTCGAATAACAAGATAGCGTTAAGACATTTTTGATAAATTAGAGGCAGGTCAAATTTCTCACTTTTTGGATGAAAAACTAAATAAGCTAACAGTGCTTTACTTACACGAACAAGCTTTGTTTGAAATAATGTGAATAGTGGCTAAACCTGTTCCATCAAAATAGATACTTGGATCAGACACCTTTTTAAACCTCGCGATCATAAAGAATGTAAACAGGAGTAATTAGCTGAATCCAAAACTTGTGATTACAACTATAAAAATTATTTCTATGACAATAACACCGGTTACGTGGCCGTAGTCAAAAGTATGTACACATACGCAAACTTTCGGTTTTGTCATTTTATTACTATAGAAGCATCGCTTAAGTGACACTTGTCATGAGCACCTCTTTATCTTATTGCACACTTTTCACAAGTCGATATCGAAGAGGATGGGTGTAAAAACGTATTTTATATTTGCGTTGTCTTATCTAAAAGCATCAACATGCAAATGAGTCATTCAGAAAACAAAATATCCTACATAAATTTCTCCTAAGCATAATTTTTCGATCCATGGTTAATCCTGAAAGACTTAATTTTGATTAGAAGTTCTTTTGCAATGCAAAACTTAATAGCTGAAAAATTGTTACAGTTATAGACGGTGCACGACTGGGACATGGTCAACCGGCAGCAACTTTAGTGTGCTGAATTTAAATAATTCAAATCGTGGCTTAGGATTATTTGGCTATAGACAAATTCAAATAATTCTTACACCTGAGGTGTAAGTTACCCATTCAAACAGCCATTTCAACAAAACCTTTCGGCTGCCAAATAAGAAAATGTCCCGCATTCTTTAGTATAAATTCCTAGATATTAAGAAATAATCGTATTTTAGCTTACTGGTTTTGCATGCCAATTGTTATTCGCAGTGTCTGACTAAAAATAACCTTAAATTCAAAATACTGGCAATCTATCCCCATGCAACTCATGGGCACTATGCCCTAAACTCGTTCGGTGGCTTGTTCATGGAGCGTTGGAGTATCTGGAGTGCAGAACTTCAAAGCACAGATGAGTCTGTTATTTGATGCTAACCGTTCAAGTCATAACCTGAATAACGAAAAAGTAATTAAGGCGATTTTGCTTGCTGCATATGCTTACTTCTATGGCAACAACTTACACAGTAGCCCATTATTTTGTACTATTGTACTATTTACTCAAACGACCAGCAGCTGCCATCTCAGCTAACTGCATCCAGTGGTACTAACTGAAAACCCCAATCTGGCATAAAACCAACCTTTTCGGTATTGTTTTTACAACATATTGCAAAACCCCTTCTTACTTCAATACCCTGAATGTCCATTTTTGAATGACAAAATTTGTGAGTAGCGTCATCAAGGATGACGAGAATGAGTTAATTATAAAATCCGAGCTGAATTATGCTTAGTCTCATGGTTCACTTTAATTAAGAGCAAAGACGTCTAATAGATACCAAGGCTACCAGCACAGATAATGTTTGAAATCTCTATTGAGTTAATTTTTTGTTAAATTTGATATAAATCAACGGAATGCTATGTTCCAAATTAAGAGACTACACGCGCCATCATTTCAAGGATAGTTAAACGTTTTACGAAATGCAGAAAGACCTGACCTGCTTTAAGTACAAAATCACGCTTTCAAAGGTAATTAAAACGTCTTTTGTGAACTAGATCTGTTATGTCAACTTCTGCACACAATGCGCGTGTGCATTTACAGCCCGTATGTTTCGCTTTGAAAATATATGTAAAACCTTGTGACTGCTACGTTCATAATATTCAAAACTATTTTTTTTATAAATGTGATTTTTGTGATTGCAATTTCCGCGGATGTTTTCAGACCTGCGATATGCTCATTAATCCGTTGCCTAAATGGGTCTGCTGTGGGATGTCAGCAGACGCGTATGAGCGGAAGCTTGTCCGAACGTGCATACCGCAAGTCGACTGGTGCTTGTGACTCATCCCCACCTTTCACTGGTCTCGGTCCAAAAGCCCACCACGAACACTCACACACACGCACGCGCGCGCGTGCGCACATTGAAACCTCACAACTGGCGGGTGAATGTGTCGTGCAGCCTTTTTTACCGGCCCCTTTTTTGTCCTCGAGTAATGCGGCTGTCAACGGGGAATTGGGTGCCAATGTAGCCTTTCACTGTTACAAAACCCTACAAACGCAAATTCACTTACGTGAACTTTTTAAGTTATCATTTTTAGAATTTTGAAACTGATCCAAAACCCAGCCCACGTGGGTGAGGAAAACTGATTTCGGTAACTTATGCCCGTTCCTAAGTGCTGGTCACTTTCACGTAGTTTGCGTGGAAATGTAAAAATAAAGGGACCAGTTAAGGCCCTTTTCTCCCTTGGACTTCTATTCGCTTGCTCGTCTGCACTAGATTAAGAGTACATCGGGGAAGAGATTTTCTCTATACAAAGCCGGCTAAATAACCCACAGTACGGCATCTGGATCATAATGGTGCCCTTTAAACTGCCTTTTTAAAGAATGTCGACGATGTTTTCGCAAACAACTCATGTACAGGTCATAAAGCTGTTCTGCTACTCACCAACGAGATGTTTTACCAATGATTCATTCCACTGATTGTCTAAGAAATGCCTTTAGGTTGATTCCACAATGTATTGGCCACACCACTTTCTAAACCGGAATTGAAATCAGGGCGTTACCTAATCATTAAAAAATATATATCAAAGGGGTAAGTGATTGCCAGCCTTCAAATTTCTTGACTAGTCTACTAATGTTTTGAATTCAGGCAAAACAACTCAAACAGTTGGCCAAACTGTCGTTTTCGACAATCGTCTACGGGAGAACAAATTCTATCCTCCTGCCAAAAAAGCTACCAGTTAACTAGCATAATGTGGTTATCAGGTGTAGATGTTACGGCTCCTGCTAGAACAGACCACTTGGTTGAACAAGCACACGAACTGGAGGAAGAGATACTGCTCCAGTATAAGTCGGAATGCCACTCCTTGTCTGGGCTCGTACTCTGATCGATTGAAGCCTGGTCAGTTCATTTCTTTTTAGAATCCTGATCGCAGCCCGTGTGGCTTGATGTATTAAGAATAAATGAGCACGAGTAGTTATCATGGATTGAACCCCACAACCTGGGAGCCAGCTCAAGGCTCCAAATTGTGTTTGAATCGAAATGCTACGTTCGAACGCTTTATGCAAAATCTCCCCGTTCGACAGCACAGGATTTAAGTTACATCCAAATGTAGTCTCTTCATAAGAGGGAATGCCGCACAGGATTATCTGCAGTTTATTTGGTTGGTACTACGTAATTGGTCTAGTCTCTTGCACTTCTGCAGAATGCGTTTGGTACAGAGCTTTAAATTTATCACCAACACAGAAGAGTATTTAATGGAACCCGAGGACTGATTTCTGCTTATAGCGTACTTACTTGTCGAGAAAGTTCAGCGTCGGAGTCCTTTTCTATCTGCCGAAGTTCTTGCAACCATGGCGAGGCAGTCCGTCGGCCTCTTTGTACCGATAGAGTCTTCCTAATGGCCTCCTGGCTAGCAATCTCTCTAATTCTGTCACCTTTGGCGTTTTGTACGCAGGAGACAAGTGTTTTAAATGAATCAGACTCCATACTAAGCAAAACAGAGAGCCCGACGCTGAACGTGAAGAGGAAGATTGTAAATGCACGGAAACAGACGTAAAGGAAGATGAGTACCTTCCGCGACATTGGAATACCGTCCACGGTCGGAAGACGTCGTGTCGATTTGACAATTCCCTTTGAGTTTTCACGTGCAGGTGAAGAATACGGACTCGAGTCTTCAGCCATTAATCCTGAAGTTGACGACTTTGCCGCCTCTGTGAAAGCAGACGAAAGCGACGAGGCTCGTGAACTGAGCGGCACTGGGCTCTGGAAGAGCAGTGTTGGCAAAACTAATTGGCGCCGTCTTGGTTTACATAGGCAAAGAAGGAGGAAGGCTACAAAAAGCATCAGGTATAAGATGGCCAGAAATACGGACAGCAGAAGGAATGGCAAAGGAGTGTGGAGGCCTTGTGTGTCAATAAGCATTATTGGCATTTCAATTTGTGTTTGGAGGAAAGCAAGGGTGTGTACTTGCTGCTTTTGTCCACCTCTAAGGAGATACTGCAAATGTGTACTTTGGCAATCGGAGAGATGAACGTAAATGAGGAGGGGCGTTCCGTCAGGAATGCCGATTTCGAAACTAAGAGCGAAGGGTTGTGGATGATCTTGACGATTCTTTGGACTCGGAAAGAGAATTACATCCTTGTCGATGAGCACATACTCCGATATATTTATTGGAGGATAGTGCGTAGCATACCGCAGTCCAAGTTTGATTTCGATGTAGACCGGGGTGCCAGTTACCCAGCCTTAAAAGAAGAAGAGGATAATGAGCGACTTTTACGCTATGAAAAAAAACTACTTTAGTCAATCGCCCAAACCATCCCATAGTGGTACCTTTGGAAAAATATCTTTTGGTCGCTGTGCTGCAACCCACCTATGAAGAGCAGCAAGAGGAGAAAATGTTTGGCGTGCGCGGTATGGAATAGGGCATCGAAGCCAACTTTCATTGGACGCCTGAAGGCAACTCGTGCAATGGCCACGCGAGAACACGCATCGTGTCTTCTGCCAATCAGAATGCGATGCACGAAAGGACGCGTAACCAGATTGAGGGAATCAATTCGCCCCATGGTTTTCACAGCCAGTTCGCGTTCACAGAGGCTGCCGTTCGGTGACGCCAGCAAAGGAGGTGCAGACTCGGGGTGGTCGGGGATTTCGGCTCTTAGGTATTTCATAATTACAACGAAACTGTACCTCTTACTCAGCATGAAAGAGTCCCAACATAAGCCACGTTTATGATTTGTTCGTAATTGACTTATGCCCGAACGAGGGCTCCGAATGGGCTTCAGATTGTTTATTGCAGAAGCCAACAGTAATAGTGGTGGTCGTAAAAGACACGTTCTCTTCGCGATGTGGACGGAAAAACTTGACGAGCATCACCTAAGCAGGACTAAGACTTCTGAAAGTGCCAAGGTCCCGCCCCATACGAAATTTCAGCAGCTGACTGTAGTCTCTATAACAAGGTTCTAGCCAGTCTTTAGAAATAGTAACAGTCGTTCTACTGATAGTTTGAAATTTGCCAACATAAACTACAAAAGGCTTGAGGTTAGGTTGGCTTCTCGTTTCACAGTTTACTGCTGTTATAAGCCATTATAAAGAATTTGTTTTGCATGACATATGTTTTAGACAAAAAGTATTAGATGAGGAAATTGAGGTTTACGTCGGAAGAATTATCTGTCCTTCACCAGGGTTGCAGTGAAAGTTGAATGCTTAATTTGCAGATCACTCACTTTGGAGTCGCAACTTAGTAACGAAATGGTAGCAGTGATCAGTCTACAACTACCAAAACCAAGCATTGTTTGAGTCATAAGCCTACTTAAAAAACCTTTTAAAACATCCAGTTCATCCACAGCCACCTTAAATTAAACTTTGTCTTGCGAAATCGCGATTGGTTTTTGCAATGAAAATTACACATTATTTTTTTTTAATTTGAAGTTTGATCTGCCTTAATGGGTGCAAGTGGTTAAATTTGCTGAGATTATTCCCTTTCTTTTTCTCCACAGTCTTTGGTTTTGGTGGCTGTTCGTGAAATCATGCGAAGTGGCGGACGATTTGGCAGCAGGTGTATTTACTCAATTTCCTCTGTGATTGTTTTAAAGATTTATTTATGACCTAAAATATTGTGATAACGTCCTATGTGCGTGGTAATAATTTTAAAGATTTAAGCAGAAGGATTATCGTGCAGCTCCCATTGATTGCAACAGTATTTAGGCAATTTTATGGATGGCAATGACATTTGCCAAATATTGGTATTACTTGAGTATTGAAAAGTAGCAGGTATTGTTTGAGATTTCGCACACAGTAAACAAAAACCATTCTCGACACAAAAAGAACCGCTGCAACAGACGTGATTGCAGTTTATTAGGGTTTTATTGCCTTCCACTTTAAAGTGAACTCTTGTGAGTAAATTAAACAGCTTCTTTTTGGAACATGGTTTCTTTGCCGTCTGGTTTTGGGCTTCCACTTCCGTTAGGATTTTCTGCCTTCCTGCGCAGGTGACGAATCAGGCCGCATCGCATCTCGTTGGGGCCAACGCTCCAGGCAGTTCATCCAACTCATGCACCCTTAGTGACCGGCACACACGCACTTCCTGAGTCAGTGCAATAAACCGACACTGAGGATGGGTCTGACCTTGAAAAGGTCATTCAATTTCAAGAACACCCGACTTCGTAAATTGCTAACAGCAAATTGTGTACAATTTACAATTACGCTTGGTGCCAAGAAAAAACAAGTCACTTTTACTTAAAAAAATCGAGTCAGTTAGTATTGAACTCTAGTGCTATGATGCAACTAAGGTATTGAGTTGAGATTCAAACAAAGAACTGCAGTATGATGAGGGGATCTTGTCGACGTCAAGCACCCAGCTGCGTGTGTGCACTGTGGTGGGGAAATGACAAGGCTACTGGGCAGATTGACGAGGTTTTAGTTTAATATGGAGTTGAAATTAAGATCTCATTCTGCAGTGTCACATATGAAGAAATTACAAAGTAACATGCTGTACTTGATTAACGCTGACTATGAAATTGGCCATTTCTTCAAATCCTAACTAAGTTACTATTGGCCTAGCAAAAATTATTTATTTATTTGTAATCAGATCCAATTTGTCTATGTTCTACAAGGGTTAATTCAACCAGCTACTGGCGTTATGTGTTTACTAAAGCTCTTAGGCCTAATCTGTGTAATTTTAAGGACATCTGACTCTCATCAATCTGTACTAAGAAGCTAAAAATTGAGTCACTTGAAGGAGATGTAAATAAGTAATCTTTGTTAATCTGCGAGAAATGAGATATCAAATTATGCGCCATTGAAGAATACCGTATTTGCAGAACAGATAAGGATTGAAAATTAGAAGAGTCATTTTAACATTGGGCAATTTTCTTCACTTACCTATCATTATTACTAATAATTGGGCCATTTTGAAACTGGGCTACTTTGCAATATCTATGCATTGAAATTTGCCCGGTAACTTAGTAGACACAGTGGATCATGCCAGAGGCGCGATTAAAGGACTTTCCACTGTCTTAAAGAATCCACCAATACTTATTTACAAAAATTATCAAAACTTATTTTGCATTATTGTCTTGTTTAGCAGTCATTTCAATCGAATTCATATTTTTTTACCTTCCGCCGATCGCATCCACGTAGCTCCAATGGTCTTTATTGATAACCACGAATTATTGCTACTGATTTTTAATAAGTAAATATTAATTTTAAAGCATGTGGCGAACAAGTTCATAACTCAGCGGATGTGGATGGTTCCTTTAAGCTCATTGAAATCTAGAACAATGTCTAAAAGGAAATGACAAATCACTACAGAACTTTAAAGCCATTTATGTTGGTAAAGTGTACTTTGTGAACGAACTGGCACTTACATAATTTTTGTGTTGTAACTATACTTATGCTTTGAGGCTCCGTAAACTACTGGTGATCTGAAAACCACAAATAGCAGATAGCACACACTAAATTGAACTTAATTTAAATAACATCTCTAGGGTTTGTGATATTAATGGTTTGTTGTCACACGGCGACGCTAAAAATACCAGTGTTTATTCGCATAAGAAGTTCATTCAGTGGTGTTTCACTATTTAGCATTTAAGTGCTTTACTTAGTAGACGGTGGCATCAAGGCTACAATTTGTGTAAACAACAAGTTATTGTTATTAACTTAAACAAAAAAATGCGTGACAAATTTTATTTAGATTCAGTTCATGCAATCACCTACAATTTGATTACCCTTGCGTACTTGTTGTGAATCGTGTTTATTCACACCCCTTACTCCGATCACACCATCCTCCGACACAAGGTTCTCATTTTCGCTGCATGTTACCAGCCCCGCAGAATCTCATTCGCACGAATATTTATCTTGGATTATCCTCACACCTAGATCTCGGTGTTAGCGCATATATTACTCATACATCGGAGGTGTAAACACACACACAAACCCCACACAAGACACAACGACATCAACGTGGTTGAGCTCTGAAGTAACCGGTTGTGTCCACGTCGTCTCCGGCCTTTTTCTGCATCGCGGGTATCAGGGAAATGTAATCGGGCCAGAGGAAATTCAGTGGCCCCGGGGTGGTTCAAGACCACATGCTGGGGTCCACAGCATACTCAAGCAGTGTGACTTATTAAAAAAGCACAAAATCAAAGATAAACAGAAATTTTGCCAAGTAATAAATAATGTACAAAATAAATAAGAACTTAAGGGTACTGACCACTCAGTGTAAGCTGCCTCCTTTTTGGCCTGCGACTGGCTTTTGAAACGAAACTTAGTGTCTCCATTAAGTCAAGAGTAAACTTGTGGTCTGTGTCCACAAGAAGCCGGTGAACCGCATTAACTGAATTCGCCAGCGGAACAGCATCACAAAATATGGCTTTAAAAAGGCCTCTATGATTGCCTAAAACAAAAAAATGGATAAATATGCTGAAGGGAATTTAAAAGATTGCGCATAAAGCCCACATTTACTCGCATTAAGACAAAATACATTAATGCATATTTTACACAAATACTGCCGAAAAGTAACATTCATGCTTTTTAGAACGAGGATAATTTCATATGCGATGGCATTCGTGACAGCACACATATTCAAAGCCTAAGACACCATCTAATCAAGTTGCTTAACAAAATAGAAAACAAGGAATCCCGCAATATTTGTGTTTCACAGTTCCCTTACAAATGTAGATATGTGTATGTGTGCAACTACGACGTTGGGCCTGTAATGACAAAATAGAGGAGACATTTAATTTACAGTGCGTATTGTTTCATTCATGGAGCCTCATTTTATCTCTGCTCAAATATTCTTTTAATTCATGAAAGCAAGTTGAACCCACGAGATCAAAGTCAAATCAGGAGGCAGAAAAGTTTCCTCAAGAAAACTTTCATGTAAAAAAACTTCCAAAACTCGTGATTTATGCACCGAAGCACTATCATGACAGAACAAAGCACTTCTCCCCACTGCTTTTCTCACTGCTTTCCAGCCGCAAATATCTTCATGTGCATTTAAACACAATCATTACAACCTTCTGTAGGTATTTTTGCCTCTACAAAAGTCAACGTCACCGAATCCCTCAGCGACCTAAGTCGATGGCCATGGCTTTCCCAACTGAACAATTGGTCAGCAAACACCACTGGTCCTGCGAATTAACATTGCTTGAAACGATCTCGGCGTTTTCAAAGCTGCTGGCACCAACTACCTCCCTTTCGTGCATATTTGCTGTGGCGATGTGAGCCACTTGACGAAGCCGATCCTTGCCTTGCACGTTTGGGCCATTTCAAACTGGGTAATACATGGGACCCGACTTTACTGTTGGAACGTTTCCCACTACTCAAACACTGGATGTCTCAGCGTGAGCACAGTGTTCACGAACAAATGCAGCCGTGTTCCGCTCAGGTGGCAGTTTTCATGCACTGAGTTCAGTTTCGTAATGTGCTGGACCTGTTTGGCAGGATATTTTCCTGACAAACAATGACCAATCTTGTTCAATTTTTATACTCTTTTATGTAAATGTACGATAAACCATACTGTGCTAGACTGCCAAAACGAACTGCAGACGACCTATGCTATACCTGCCTTCCCACCTACCACTAAATTATTTCAAACCATTTCTGGCACGGATGATTCAATCAGAGAAGTCACCTTTATTGACGCCTCTAAATCATGCAAGAATGCACG